CACTCATTGTATAAAACACATGCACCTAATGTACAAAGCACACACGTATATAAATACCAACGCTTGCAGGGTATTAAAGCCTTTGTGTTGGCTTTTCTTTGTGTGCGATTTGTTGCCTGTGCTGCCATTCTTTAACCCTGTGTTGTGTGATCTTCAATTGTTGTGCTTGAATTTTTTCTTTCGCCTGTCAATTATTGTCAGCTATGCCATCTGTGAGCGAGCTTTTTCTTTTCTGATAGTCTATATATATATTAATATATATATATATATCTTGGGACCAGTGCATTATGTGTTTTTGTATTGCGGTCGCGAATCATGTGGACTCAGCGGTAATTTCGCATGATTATGTTTATATATATTCAGTTTATTATTTTTCACAACAACGCTCATCATATTATTGTATTATCTCAATCGTATTTTCATTCCATGCGTTAACGTGCTTAAGTAACGTATCTTAAGCTTAGCGGAGTGCGACTGATAGACTTGTATAGTCAATTCACGCTAACCTCGCTGATATTATTTTTTAAAAAACTTGTCTGTTATACTATGTAACATTGCTAAATTACTTGAAAGACGTAAAATAAATTTCAAAATCTAAATCTAAATCTACTATTAGACTATTAGAGATCAAGAGCTATTATTGTGGGAGTGCCAGAAAAATATTGGAGTGCAATTTTTTGCTAACATCCGTCTTTAGAGTCAATATTTTAGCGCCGTGCTAGCACATTTTTTGCGCCTATGCAGTTTCAAAACCTGACTGTTGCAAATGCGACGGCTGCGACGGCTCGACTGGCTAATACGTTGACAGGAGCGTGGTACATATAACAACAGTCGTACTGTAACCGTGAAGGATCGTCTCGGCAGATCCTGAAGCTTGTTTCACACATTCTATAGAGTCGACTTGTCACAGTTCACCCTGAGATGTATAAACGAAGTCATGCATTCTGATGGATCTGCTAAGAAAAAAACATACTAAATGCCACGACGACAACAATGCGTTCCTCTAAAGCACTGCTTTTATCAATGCCACACTGTATTACATGAGCGTGCATCGCATACGATCAACATCTAAACTTTTGTAGAGCCTCAGTTTTTTCACAGTAGAACTTTTTATTAATCATTATGCAACATGTTTCATTTACCGAAACTGGTCGCAAAATTGAGTTAATTCATCATTATATATATTATATATTAATATATTCATTATACATAACATCACCTTTACATCCCTCCCTATCTGCCAAACATATATAAAAAAATTGACACTCGGTGTTTGTTTTGAAATTCACAAATATTTCTTAGCCTGGGGTCTTATACCTAACCCTAAACCACCGCTAACTCTACCAACCGCTAACACTAACCCAAACCCGTATACTCCTTAACCCAACCTAACCCATCACCAACCCTCACCTAAACCTCACCTTACCCCTACCCTAACACCATAACCTGACCCCTATACCCTAACTCCCAACCCTAATAACCAACCCTCATCACATTTACTCTGCGCATATCTATTCCCTAATCCAACCCTAATTCCTACATTTAATCCCACCCTAATCCCTAAACCCCAACCCTCGCCAATTTTCTCTGCCGTATACAGGGTTAGACACTAACCCATATTTAGTTCACTAGTACTTACAGGACTTAGCGTAAAAGAAAAATTTACTAGTCCTTCCAAGATTCTAACGTATGCTGCCGAAGGACTCCCTTACTAGGCAGCATAGCGACGAGCATTGTGATTTGTCGGGGTGGGGGGGTAGGTGGGGTGGAGGGTGCGAGCCCCCCTTCTGCTACGGATGGACAGGGCGTCTCTCCCCAAGGTACAAGGGTGTCTCCCCAGAAAGGTTTTAGTTAAAGACATTGCAATTGTATAAATTACAATGTAAACTTTGTTGATGAATTTCATAAGATTAAAATTTAAATTAAATAACATTTTAATTCGAAATAAAATCGGCCTACTTTGATAGAAGAAATATGGTGGATCCGTCATCTATACACAGAAAGGAATTTGCGCTTCAATTTACCTAGCTACAAACTGTTCCCGTGCGCCTGTGTATCGCTATCGCCGTTAATGAACCTCGCTGCAGGCCTTTGTCGTGCAGGTAAGTGCAGTGCGACATCTAACCCTCTGGCCTTGTCAAGGCTGCACAGCTTGAGCGTAAATCGGTGTCAGGGCCTGCCCGTTTGTCCAACTAGCATGTGCCATTTCTAAGATGGGTTCGCCCATTTACGGTGGATAATATTGTTTCTTATGCCACCGCGACTGATCGCGTGACCGTCAGTCGTTACGTCACGCACGAAACTCGGCATGCTCTGAGACAGTGAAAATGCATAGCAGCCTAGCTCTATGGCTACATCACGCACATTACCACTGATGCAAAAAGCCTAACCCTAAACCCTAACCCTTAACCCTATCCTAACCCTAACCCTAACCCTATCCGCTAAACCGCTAACGCCTAACACCTACCCTAACCCTATAAACCGCTAACCCTAACCCTAATTACCGTGTGGATATATGTGTTCTATGCCAAGCGGACTGACTCGCGTGACGTCAGCTGTACGCTCACGCACGAACTCGCATCTCTGAGTACAGTTGAATGAACAGCCTAGCTGCTGAGGCTACATCACGCACATACGCTGGAATGCCAAAAACCCTAACCCTAACCCTAACCGCTAAGCCTTCGCTAACGCCTAACCCTAGACCCTATCCTTAACCCCTAACCCTAACCGCTAACCGCTAACCCTACCCTAACCCTAACCTAATTAGAATCTTAATAACAGCTCAATACTAACACTTAACACTAACACAAAAAATAGTTAAAATGGATAAAGAAGAAAAATACAGAAAAATAAAAAATATTGAAACAGATGGGATTCGAACCCATCACCTTCAAGAAAAATCGTTCGCGCGCCTTACCGCCGTTGCGCTAGTTTGAGTTCGCTCAAGATGTATTTATGTATGTGCCATAATGCATACATGATGTGCTGTGCGTGATTGGTCTGATGCACTGGACGGCACAGCTGACGTACACTTGAAACATCACGCAATCAAGTCGGTTGGCTAGAAAACATAATCCACCCGCGCAGTGTACTAATCGCATGGATAGATGGCGGCTTCGAGTGGCACTGTCCGGTATCACTGCTAAACCAATGCGTCTAGTCGAAGCGAGAATAACCGCTCAAATGAATGAAATCAGAGTTGCAAAGTAGAGGCTGCAAAGACATCTTGGAGGCAAAGCTGATCGGCACGTATCACGTACACGTGCGTGCGTGGGCACGTACACGTGTGTGCGTGCACATGTGGCCTACTGTGTACGTCGCCATGTACAGTCGCGGCGCTGTGCGTGTGCACGTCACGTGCGTGCTTGTGAAGGCACGTACACGTCGTGCTGCACTTACACGTGGTGCGTGCATAGGCACGTAACACAAGCCAGCAGAGAGCCAACACATGGCACAGGCGGGGGTGTGTGCGTTGCGTCGTGCACGTACACGGTGCGGCGCTTGTGCTTCATGTGCCACGTACACCGTGCGTGTGTGCCGTGCGGTTGTGGCATGCGTTGCGTGTTCTGCGTGGTCCGTGCACATGTGGTGTCGTGGTTGCGTGGTGCCACGTACACGCTGCGGGCGCAGCTGCGCTACGTGTCGCACGTACACGTGCGTGCGTAGTATGCCGCACATGTGCGCTGCTGTGGTGTGTGTGTATGTAGTGTGCACATCCGGTGCCCTGGCGTGACAGTGTGTATGTTACAGCTGCGTGCGTACGTGGCACGCTTACACGTGTGTGCGTTGCGTTGGTGGTGCACGCTACGTCGTACGTGGGTCGGGCAGCTGGGAAAGCTGGATCTGCAACGTACACGTACACGTTTGCGCTGTGCGTGGGCACGTACACGTGGTGTTGCGTGCATGTGCACGTACACGTGCGCGGTGCGCTGTGCACGTACACGTGCAGCGCGTGCGTGTCGCACATTGCCGTGCGTGTGCATGTACACGTGCGTGCGTGAATAGGCCACGCTACAAGTGTGTGCACGTTACACGTGCGCTGCGTGCATCAGCACGTACACGATGGCTGTGCGTGCGTGTGCCACGTACACGCTGCGGGCATGTGTGCATTGTGACGTACACGTGCGTGCGTGCGTGCGTGTGCACGTGCGCTGTTACACATGTGTGTGTGCGTGCGTGTTGCACGTACGCACGTGCGGGCGTGCGTGATTGCCACGTACACCGTGCGGGCGGTGCGTGGTAGCACGTAACACGTGCGGGCGTGCTTACGTTCGTGATGTAATCGTGCGTACGTGCTGTGTGCATACACGTGCGTTGCGTCATGCACGTACATGTAGCGTGGTGCGTGCGGCCGTTGTGTAGGTACGCTGTGCACATACACGTGCCTGCCGTGGCGTGTGCAGTACAGGTGCGGCGATACGTGGGCACGCCCCCATCACGTGTGTGCTGGTGGGTGCGTGTGCACGTACACGTGCGTGCGTGTGAGTACACGTGCGGCGCGCTGCGTGGTGCGACGCGCAGCTGTGCACGTACACGTGCGTGCGTGGTTGCATTACACGCTGGTAGTGCCTGCGTTGTTGCACCGGTACAACGTGCGCGTGCGGTGTGCACTTTTATCACCTTTTTGAGTCGCCACACACCATTTCAAATTCTCAACGTTGCTGGTCACTCTGGTCCCCCACTGTTTCGTGATCAAGACATGCGTCTTGCATTTCTTTTTGCTAGATCTTTCTGTGCCCCTGGGAAGCATCATGCGCATTAAAATTTCAAACGATAGTTTGTAGCTGCCGCGTTGAAAAACTACCAGACATTACATGCCTGCACACAGCGTCTACCTTGGCTGGGTCATAGCTCTAGCACGGTGTATGACGATTTCCACCGCTGGCTGGAACGGCACGCCATCTTTTTCGTGTATATAGACACGCTTGGCATCTATTTCTCCTGCCTGCGATTTGACGTTTGGAAGGCTGGAAGTTCGGCGAGCGTCCGTCCAATATTCCACATAACAAGTGATGTTCGTTAGTTACTACTATGTGCCGATAATTATGTACCTACTATTAGCTTCAACATACTATTTGTATCCACGTGCTTCAAGTTAACACAGCAATGCGATGCTGTGCGTTGGCGATGTAAAATACCTCGCCTATGAGAGCGCTACATAACTGATTCGTTGCGTCATTTCTACAATAGACGTTTGTTCTAATGTCAAACAGCTGTCAAAAGCGATCGCATCGGGTAGACTGTGATTGGTGGTCTCATTGTTTTTAACAACATCGTTTGTACTCTGCGTAGTGGCTCTAGCATGCTAGAGGGGAAACTTGTTAAATGGGGCGAGTTATATATAGCTCTTTGGAATCTTCGGATGAGAGACGCTGCGCCTGCGTAAAATCGGCATGGGAAATTTGCGGACGCGTGCAGGGCACGGGGGAATATTATACTAGTCCTCGCCGG